CAAACTCAAAGCCATTTCAAATGCCTGCCTTTCACGGCAGATTGATGGAATTAAATGCATGTGACAGCACATCGTATACGGCTTGTTTCATCATCTCGCAGAGCGTACTCAATCCTTGTTTCACCTGGCAGTGACTGATGGAGTTCAGCTGTGCCTCTTGTTAAAAGAAAAAAGTAGACCAAGAAAAAAAAAAAGTTTTTAAAATACGCACTTTCTGTCTCTCGAGCCATAAAAGATGACTGAACTTTTCATGTGCCGGTATTGGAAATTAAAAACAGGCAAATTGCTTCAGCACCTCGGATGTAAAACCCCAGGGGGAAAGAGGCAGCTTGTGTGAAACGCTTTAAGGAGTTCCACTCAGCCAGACTCAAACCCACACATACTTCTACACTTCTTGCAGGCCACCTTGAGCCCGTCAATAGCTCCACTCTTTGTAGCATCAGAGCGCGGGTACATTTGAAACATTAGATGTCAAATAGAGTAATTAAATCGATACGGAAACTAATCTTCTGTTGCCTCGTACCAAATGGTTTATAAATCCCCGCAGCAATCCCCTCAAGTAAGCACAGGAATTCATGAATGCTTAAACCCATTTGGTGTACTCTGCTCTAACAAAGGAGCAGCTTTGATACTACCACTCCTCATCTACTTGTAGGACAAGACTGCTGAGCTGACACTTTTCTTTTAAATATGAATATCAAATGAGGCCTTTGATATGGCACGATAATGGCAAGGCTGGGCCAATTGAGGTTCTCTCTATTTAAAAAAAGGGAATGAGCTTGTGAGTTGTTGCTTTTAGTGATCGGCAGAATCATTTCTTCTGCGGTGTCATTTTTAGCGTTTTACTTCTCAAAAGGTGTTCAGTGTGACTGGAAAAGATAAATAAGTGCGGCAGTGGATAGTAAATTGAATGTTGAATGGAAGAGATTACAGAGGAGGCTGCGAGCACAGAGAACATACTGCAGAGTAAGAGGCTGAACAATCCTTGCTCCACGCAAAACACCAACACTAATATGCTCACAAGGCTGACACCAATAGGACTTAACATCAATCTCTCTTCCCCGCTGGTAAAACAGTCACTGCATGTGTGTGAGAGCACAACTACCCCCCCCCCCCACCCCATTAGCCTCCTGACTAAACAACACATTGTCCCACTGCACAAAGGCCATTTGCTTTGATGATTGTTGGCTTTAGCGCAGAGCCGTCCTAAAGAGTCGTGCTCTCAATCCTAACAGCACCACCCAATACTGTTCTAATCGGCCTGAAACTCCCCCTACATCTCAGACCCTCCTAATCCCTCATAAGAAAGAGTAGCCAGATGGTCACGAACAACTGCTGGGGGGGCTTGAGGATGAGCGCATGCATGGAGATGCCTGGAGTGCCTGCCGCTGTTTACCTTGTGCTTCGAGTTACCAATGTAAGCCCTGTCGAGCGGGTGGTGAGCGTACTTTCAATAATGCATGTGTGTGGAGTGGACAGTGTGTGCGCTCGTGCATGGGCGCACAGTCAGAAAGAGGAGACCCCTGCTGTACCTGTGTGTCTGATTACCACAGCGTGTCATTCCCCCCTTCAGTCCTGAGATGAGATGTGAGAGCTTCAGAGGCGAATCTCCCCACCAGCTGCAGTAACCTTGTGATTACTGGAGTGTCTGAGGTAGAGCAGCGCAGTCCCAGGGGTGTCAAGATACAGCATGCCTCTCACCCTTCCTCCCTCGTATCCCATGGTGCTCAGGCACCCCGTCCCGATCCCTAACTGGCGAGCATAACCCTTCATTCCCAGGTATGCTAACCTTAAAGTACACCTCCTGCTGCACCCAGAATCCACCAGTCAGCCAGCCGCCAATGAGCCTCATGCTGTCACATGTTGATGGACAGACCACATGGTGCCTCTTTAACCCCCTCATAACCCCACTACCTTCCCCTCAGACACTGATTAAACTGTCATTAAAATGATCTACTGGCGGGGGGGAAACAAGAGTATATAGAAGGATATATGCATGGTGGGCGCTCATTAAGTCAACACTACCATGGTAAGACATTCAATTATTTCACAGCAGGGGATGCGCTGCGCTGGGGAGAGTCCATAGCCACTTATGGACCCTTCGCCAACACAAGCACACGCAACATGATTGCAGAGAGAATCTTCAAACGTCACACTAAAGGGAAGAGCTTTAGCACACTCTCAGGCTGGATTTCTATGGAGGCCAACAAGCTAGGCTGCACATGAATTGGAGGCCACCAGCCTTGAAATCCAAAGCCTCTTTTCCACCTCCCTATTAGTGGTGTGCAGCAGCCGGTTATTAGTGGCGGGTTTTGCCACTGAAAAGGGTTAAGCACAAATTGAGCCTGGAGGGAACCTAGGAAGTAAAAGCCCTCAGACAAATCCCCTGTGACTGCCCCTCAAGGAGATAGCGGATAATAATGACCTTATGACCTCTGCCAAAGATTGACCTATAACTATGCAATGATGTCGCTTCTGGGCTATTAAATAAGCCAAGCAGGCCGGAACCGACATGCACATAACTGATGGTGTCACCTGCTAATGTAGAGTCTAAAAGGGTCTTGATGTATCATATTTCAGACGTAGCTTGAAGAAAGAATAATTATAAGCAGTGGTAACTCCTCAATGGATGTTTAAATCACCCTTCAGAATTTGATGGATCAGGAACCTATAAATATACATATTAAAGCTGAAGGGACATCTGTTGTACAATACAGGAAGAATGTGAATGTGCAGGTGTGTTTATCGACAGTGGGCTTAGCAACTGTGATCAGAACCTGTGACACCACAGCACATGTGGTATTCTATTTGACAGAAAGGATGTGAAGATGTGTTGCCTACACTGATGGAGTGTTGGAGATCTGACATCAATGAAATACTAGAGAGCACATTTCCCCCTACAGCTCATCGTCAAGGTGTCCCATTTGAGGTATGCGTCGGGTTTTAGTCCTTTTACTGAAAACAAGAATGGCTTTAGGTGCCGTGTGTGTTTAGACTTATTTAATCTGTATCCTCCTGGATACCCTTTAAAATGCAAAATTATGTTTAATCATTTTAATTTTGTTGCACTATAAAAGGAGCTGAAGCAGGAATTCCTATGGCATGAGTTTATCTTATTAAGTAATGATTTTAACAGTTTACTCATGCTCTTAACCTTATGATTCAGATACCTTATTAACTGCTTTAAAGTGATTTTGTTCAAATTAAGCTTCCAGTAAAACAAAACACGCATTTTGCAATAATTATTCCCCGTCAATCAATTTATGGTGCAATCGATTTAGTAAATTGCTTAAAGTGTCCTTAAAAACGGAAGGGATGTCAAGTCAAGGCCTGAGCAATGTAGGTCCACTTAATGAGTTTAAAGGGGGTTCTCACATCAAGGTATGTCAATGTCTGCATTAATGAATGCAACATAGGCTAATCTTCTCTGACCCTTTCATTCACTTAAACAAACATTACATCAAGGCGAGGCAAGCTGAAGAGCCCCTGAGCTATTTGTAAGTCTTTGCCAATCGCTCTCGCTCTTGCCTCTATGGCCTGGGTAATGATAAGAGAATGATATGGAGTTGCTGCCCTAAAGCAGCAGAGGCGTCCACAGCTTCAGGCAACAGAGCCTGGCCGATAGCAGTGCTCGTATATGGAGCGGCCAATGGGATGGATCTGGGTTTGTATGTGTTCAATGCAGGCCTGATCACAGCTGGGCTCAAGCTAATGCCCGCTCATGGTGCCTTCTAACGTGCCCCAGTTAGCAGGGCTCACAACCCACTGACATGGTGGGCCGGGTTGGTAGAGTCCCCAGTGTTGGGGTGTTTTTACGCTTCGCTGCCTCCACACAAAAGACTTGGCCCCATAACCTATAAGCTCTTTAATCCATTCTGTAAACATTCAAGGGATGCCCACTTACACAACAAATGCCCATGCATGGGTACACAGCAGAGCCTGCCACACACTGGCCAGGTTCCTCTGGGTGAAATATAGTTGTGAGTACATTTGGCACACAGGGCACTATCACATTAGGATTCTTTGTTTTTCGTGTTATTACTGGGTTTTACTAGGATTTATAATTACAACATTATTACATGACACAGATTAAACAAAACATCCAGATGCAGCTTCTCTGTCAGGCTGTTCTGCCTAAATAGACAATTTACAACAACTTACAAAATATTTGTATTATTGGTTAATCTATTAGCTGATTTAATCCATGGATATTTTCGGAATCCCAGCAAGGAAACAGGCAAAATAACCACTTTAAATCATTTGGAAATGAGTCAGTGAGCATGAAACAAGCATTAAATCAACTAGTCCACTAAGGAAATCTAGTACACTGTGACCAACACGACCAATTAGTTGATTTATAGACTTATAAAGGGCAACCTTATGATGTTGTATCTATAATTATTTATCATGGTTTTACACAAGAGCAACAAAATCTAATAGTAGTACTAGAACATCTCCTCTAAAATCAACCCAAACTATTGCTGACGCGCTCAACTCTCTTTGCCTGAGAGCATGTTGCGTTACTTGTCAATGTCACTGTACTGTAGAGGCATATACTCTTTCACTTGCATGCCTACAGCAGCATCTCAACCCCCACGTTCACTTGAAATCATAAATCCATCTCAAAGAGTGACCCTGATGAACCCCCCACAATTCAAAACCTTCAACCCACATACAAAAGAAGACCTGGTGCAATGCCACTGACGATGTCATATCCAGGAATAGACACATTCACACGAGGCATCAGCCTGATGTAATAATTAGAAATGAACCATTGCACTGACAACCATCAAATTGCCATAATGTTTCCTGATTAACATTTATAAAAAAACATATCACAGAGCCTTCACATTTGCCAGCGCAGATATGGAGAATGATTAAGTTACAGCCAGATTGGCTCTGTCAGCATCAGCCTATAAGCCATATCTGCAAATGATTATCATTAACATCAACTAGATCAATATGAACAAGTGTGATCAAGAATATGATGAGCCACTTACCCAGAAGATGAGGTTGAAGATGAACATCATATACTTCAAGCAGCAGAGGCAGCCTCTTGCCATGTTGCACTTCTTGAATTCTAAAAGGAATACAAAGGATAGATCCAGGTAAAACACCACGTATTTGCTGCCTTTTGGCGAGGTGTACTTGTTGTTGGTCTTGTCTCCCGCGCTGCTGTCAGCTGCCGCTCCAGCCTGTGCCTGCTGTGCGTCTTTGCGCGGCCCCGTGGAGCCGTAGAATGCGCCGGCAGTGAAGCCGCGGCCGCCAAAGGGCCGGCCAGACGTGGAGGCTTGAGCAAAATCAGAGTCACGGCTATCTACGGAGGGGCTACGGTGAATGGCTGACTCCTCACTGCTGGACTTCTCCATGCTCTAGGGCTGCAGCTGCTGATGAAGAGCTCCCTGACGCACAGTCTACCATAGTCTCAGGGATTACAGGACAGAACACCTCCGAGTCTCACACGCTGATGCAAAAAAAATGATGAAAACCCCCAAAAGACACAACTACATCCACCTCAAGTCACAGTTGGGTAAGAAAGTCTTCAGTAAAGAAGTGAGTGGAACTGCACGTATCCGGCACCTTTGCAAGGCTTAAGAGCTTCCTGCTGCTTTCTTGCTGTGATAGCAGAAGAGTCCTGTAATGAGCATTACCCTCGCCTATCAGATGTCTGTCTTTCCGTGAACAAGTTTCAGTCCTCCCTCAATCCCCTCTTGTAATGTCACTCTCCTCCTGAGAAAGGGACACCCCGGTGAGTCTCAGCTGCTCCACTTCAATTTTCTCTTGCTGAAACTGGCAACTTTTGTTCCTGTCCTCTCTCCAATGCTCTTCTCTTCCTCTGTCCTCCTCTTCTCTGATGCGCTCTGCTCTTCCTTTATTCTGTCTCTCTGTGTCTGAGTGTGCCTGTCTTCTGTAGAGTGCAAGTCTGTGCTCAGTCCTCTGCACTGCCTGCGCTCTGCTCTCCCAATAGCAGCACTCCAGCTGATGTGCTATTATCGGCAGACGCAACCAACGGGCAATCCCTATCCCCACGACAAGAGTACTGCCCTCCTTCCCCATCTCTCTCTCCCTCTCCCTCGCTCTCCCTCAGCCCCTCCCCACTGCTGAGCAAACAGCCAATGCAGCAGCTGCAACAAGACCCGAGCTCCTCCTTCCCGCACCCCCCCCTGTCTTTAATAAGCCCATCACTGTGTTTGCTTTGACTATACATGTTCAGCAATTTCATCTTTGCTGCCTGGGGAATTGAGAGCGTTAGATGAGTATACAAATATCAAACAAACAAGCGAAAAAGTGTCAAGGTAATTGTAAATGAGTTTGGATTGTGTGTGAAGTAGCAGGGTTGGAGTGTGTGTGTGTGTGTGTGTGTGTGTGTGTGTGTGTGTGTGTGTGTGTGTGTGTGTGTGTGTGTGTGTGAAATGGACATTTCTGGCAGGCTCATTGGCATGCAGAGTTCTTACTGTGAGTCTGCTGAGACACCGGCACCTGCGATTTGACACATACTACTACATCTTCTTTCACTGTTTTCATTTTTAATTTGTCATTTCATTTATAATGTTGTTATAAATAAGCCCCAGTGAAGTCTCACAGCAGGGTATTTATCAGACATGTCTGAGAAACCAGCCTTAAAACTTCAGGCGACTGTCACCGCTGTGATTATTGCATGTGATGTGGGTGGCGGCGACAGCACTGAGCTGCAGTTTGGTCACACTGCTCTGTGTTATTCATCACTGCACTGCCCACATCCATGTAAGGGAGACTACATTAACTGGCAGTGTCCATGCTTTGGAATGATGGCACCATCTGAGGCACGGAAAGGGGATAGTGGTTTTAAGATGCTGAACACTCTCTGAGGCAAAGCCAGGGTCAAACGCTGAGCACCCCTGCTGATTTACACGCCAAACTGAGTAGATAACAGATATATGGCTTCAGATTTAACTAGATCCTCAAATATCTACATGTCAATATCATCAGAGAACAAAGGCTAACTGGTGAAGTACCTTTGCCGTGGTACCTGTCAAATATATAAAAATAAAAGGATAATTATAGCTTGTTGTGTCTATACGTGTGAGCCCGCAAGAGCTTAATTGCAACCTCAGGTGAAAGAAACAATTGGAATAACAATTTAAATGCCTCTATTGACTGCCTGTGTCTACTTTTTTTCCTCCAGTGACTGTCAAGCTAAATCAGGTCTACCTCTAGTCTAGAATGCACATTATTCGGCTTTGGTAATGGTCTTCTGTCAGCTGAGTGCCGGTGAAGGCTCAGCTGCCAGACAGATGGAGAGAGAGTTTCAACTGAATGGTCTTAAAGGTAAATCCAGTAATACCCAATCGACATAGACAAGCTAATCCATCTTGTGTTTCACCATCTCAGAGTAATAAACAGCCTTGAGGAAGTGCATGAAATGTGGTTTCAATTCACAGAAATGATGTAAAATCAGGTTTAAGCAATTTGTTGGTGTAACAATTTAACAGCACATTTCAAATTCTGATAATTTATGAAATGACAAAATATTGAAATTATGTTTATTAAAAAATATTAAGACCTCCGTCCTGTAGAATACATTTAAAGCAAGAGTTGATACCTTTCTCGAGTCTTTACGCTTGGTATAAGATTATAGCCAGTAGCGGGTTAGCTTAGTTTAGCAGCAAGACTAGAAGAAGCAGGAATCAGCAAGCTTGGCTCTATTCCTTGGTAGAAAAAATTAATAAATATCAAGCTACCTACCTACACTGCGATATCCGGTCCAAGCCAAGATACTCAAGCACGTAACTCCCGCAAATTGACACCTTTTTGTTTCTGCATTTTGATTTGCTAGCTAGGTCTGCATACTTCCAGTCTTAAGGCTAAGCTAAGCTAACCATCTGCCGCCATAGTCTTTACTGTACACACATGTAAATGCTTTAAATGTTGTCATATATTTTCTCAGCAAGTTAGCCAACATGTCATATTGCTTTAAAAAAATCCCTTTAAGTACAAATTGAATCTTTTTAAGAAGAGGGAGAAATTAAGTGTTTCGAGACCGCCATTTTTTGGTTTTGAAAAATAAATGCAAATAGTTTAATATATAACTCAAGGATTGGATTCAACCCTCTCATTTCAAAACCACATCAAGTTCGTTTCAAAATCAGCCTTCTTCCACCTCAGAAACATATCAAGACTCCGGCCATCACTTTCCGACTCTGTTGCAGAGAAGCTGATACATTGTGTTATTACCTCACGCCTGGACTATTGTAACGGACTCCTGTCCGGGGTTCCCAGCAAAACCCTGGACAGGCTCCAGTATATACAGAACTCAGCTGCCAGGGTTCTCACACGCACCAAGCCCTGGCAGCACATCACCCCCACTCTCTTCAACCTCCACTGGCTCCCGGTCAAGTCCCACATCACCTTCAAACTCCTCCTCGTCACCTACAAGTCCCTCCATGCCCTCTCCCCTCAGTACCTCACAGATCTCCTCCACCCTTACATCCCGCACCCTTCGATCCTCAGACTCCGACCTGCTCTCCATTCCACCTTCACGCCTCCGCACCTTTGGGGACCGTGCCTTCAGTGTCGCTGCCCCCACCCTCTGGAACTCCCTCCCTGCAGAAATCCGCAAGGCCCCTTCTCTCAACATCTTCACATCAACCCTGAAAACTCATCTGTTCAACAAAGCTTTCCAACAATAACTCACTTCCCCCCCCCCCCCCCCCCCCCCCCCCACTTACACTTCTGCCCCTGTTTGTATGTCTTGTCCTGATATGTTTCTTTGTAAAGCGACCTTGAGGTTATGAAAGGCGCTATATAAATTCAAATTATTATTATTATTATTATTAAGGACTCTCAAAGTTAGTAATAACAAGAGAAACTCAAGAGAAAGTCACATTCTTCCACGTTTTCAGAAACTAACAAAAGCTGTGCTTCAAATCTTGACCATGCATTTTTTCTGGTTTCTATGAGGCTGTGAAATACTTGTTTTAATTGAAAGATTACAGAAGGTTTACATAGAAGTCGGGAGACTTTGATATGATACCAGCATTTGAACAGATCATTTTCTTTAGCCTTCACAAAGCCTGTCTTAAACGGCATGTTTGCAGTTCCACAGACAGATCTTTTACCTGCAAGATGTTGCAACTGCAAATCATCAAGGCAAATCAGTTATTACGCTGCCAAAGGTTGACGTCCCATGATGAAAATAGCTGTTCACAAGCTACAAGCGACAAGGTTTCCCATCAGCCCTTTTGAACAAATGTGAAAAGCTGGAAAGACTGTCAGAATCCAGGCGCTTTCCATCTAGTGATTTTCAGGCCCTTAACTCCAAATTCAATACAATTTACGTCAGTGCGGCTCCCTCTGAGAGTAACACACATTTACCAAAGCTCAGAGGGCTCATAGTCTGCATTTTACTGATTCCACAAGAAGCTAGAAGGACACACCTGAGCCGGTTTCCTTCATACACAGATTGACTCCGAGCAAAGGGGCTCTGCGCTTCTGCATTGAGTTGATGGGGTACAGCAAGAGAGAAAGACTTGAGGGAACAGGGACAGGGAGTTGAGGCTTGGAGGGAAGATGAAGAATATGCGCACATACAGTAGCAGAGAAGACCAGTGCAGGGATTCCGATGGTGTCAGTGGGAGATGAGATTGTTTTCAAACGTGCTCTATGATGCCGGTTAAATCTAGCAGATCCTTTGACATATGTATGGTGGAAAGACAGACAGGGCTCAAAGAGAACCAACGTCTCTCAGAGCTCTTCAGACAAGGCTTTTACAAAACACTTGATGGTCCCAGTGCCACTACGAACACATAATAAACACAACAGTGGTGTCAGTTACTCTTTGAGAAGGAATTTAAGATAAGTCATACAATAGTGAGTGAAAGAAATACAGTACATGGATTTGATTCATTATCTTTGTATGGTGGGCAGCATTATGCAAAAACAGCATAGTAGGGGGTAAAGCGATTTTTACTGAAAGTTTATTGCTGTCTAATTAAATTATAAAGTGCAATTCTTCATTAGGGACATACACAGCAGCGACACTGAATCAGATATCTTCTGACACACATATATAGATAGACCCACTATGTCCATTTTACTTTGCCAAAGCATTTTGAATTCATCAGGATTAAATGTAAACTGCAACTTTACCCGACATCATTGCTTCAGCTATTTGCAATATACACAAGGCAAATAAAGAAGAGGTTTTAATATAAACTAAATCAATATTTTACTGTTTTGCATTATGGTGGAAAATGTGAAAAACAAATTAAGTGAAATAAATAAAACATTTGTTTTCTCACCCAGAGCACTGAGTTTACGAGCATTACCCTTTCAAGCTGTTTTACAGCATGTGGCTGGGCTTAGTGACTGGGTTTAGAGTCTTTTTATTAGTAGTATTTATTCCTTTAAATAAGTAACTTACTTAACTTTTCCTTGTATT